TGTTTACATGTGTTCGAGCTAAAGAAGTGTGGAAAGCTTTGGGTCTTTAGGAAACAATCGCTCGAACCCTTGTTTCAGACTGATCTGGTAGCGTCATGCTTGAGAATATCGTCAGAGATCAAAGGCATAATTCATCCACACTGCAACATCTCGGCTTCCAAGTGTCCATCTTGGTTGGAGCTTGGTACATCCGGTGGTAGAGAAAGGAAGCTGTGAAGGGTGAAGATGTGTCCATTCCTTCCAAAACAGCACTCACCATACGTGTGATAACGGCCAACTATGCTGTCTCTAGGAGTGCGACTAGTGTACCTGATGTTAAATGGTCTAAACCTTCTCAAAAATTTTATAAGGGGATCGTGGATGCATGCTTCATGGAAGATGGAAGCGGAGCCACAGCGTCGGTTCTTCAAAACCACTGGGGTGAGGCTCTTACTGGGTCAACAACTCTCTTTACGCATGTGCCTGATGCCGCTTCAGCGGAAGCTTTGGCGTTGAAGAATGGTATGGAGCTAGCTGACCAGTGGGGATGCTCAAATGTGATCTTTGAATCTGATTGTCTTGAGATTATCCAGGCATGCAAGGGGGAAGTTGTCCTTATTCTGCTAATCTGATGGGTGTTTTCATTTAACTCAAAGTATTGATTCAATCTTGTACTCTCAGTGTCCAAGGGAAGGGAACAAGGTGGCACACAAGCTTGCTAGGAGTTTCTATGATTCTAATTCTATAATTTCTTGGGAGGGTGATCCTACACAGATTATCCTAGCTGAATTTCTTAGTGATGTAACAATTATTTGATTTGAATAAAGTGTGCCACAAGTTCAAAAAAACGACATTGCTATTATTTGATGAATAAAGTTGTTATGATAAAAAAAAGTAGCGTGAGTTCTTTTTGGGTAACTACAACAGCAAAGTAACAAGATATTGAATTTTGTTGAGTTGGCAACTCGGGCTTGACCTTGAGCAGTAAAAACAAGAGAATAGAAAACAGATTGTTTCCATTATATTGTTTTTTTAATGTTGGCAGTTGCTCTGCCAAATTCATTGATTAGAAGGGGACAAAAACAAGGAGACAGCCCAAGCGGGCAAACACCCAGCAGGTGAAGGGGGGAAAGAGAGAAAGAAAAGGAACTCAACCAGGGTCAAAAGGGATTTCCATTATATTGTTGATGTTGTTGTTGGTGGTGGTGCTGGTGGTGTTGTTTTGAACTACTGGTAGTTGCATGGGACCAAAGCAGATGCGGCCACCCTGAATTAGTGGAAGCAAGGGGAGGGAAGAGCCGGAGAGGACGAGGACCACCACCTAGCTACAGCCATAGCGGGGGGCTCCGGCCGGGGAGGGAGGAGCAAAGGAACAAGTATCCGTCCCCATCCATCAAATGGCAAAAGATGGACGACGACCTCTCCCTCCCTTTTTCACAAGAGAAGAGAAAAGAAATTAAGAAGGAAGCTATGCTAGGCTGGTCCCGTCCCCGGTCCTGGCTAGCCTGTGTGGTGCGGTGTCATGCGGCAGCGGCGGCAACGGGCAATGGCATAGTGCTCTGCGGTACGAGCAGTAGTACCCTGACTGGGACTGTAGCGGCGTCTCGATCGATCGCCAGAGGCCCAGAGCACTGGCTGGGCTGGCGGGGGCTGGCTCCTTTGTCGTTGCCCATCCTCTTCTTCCCGTGTCGCGCCCCCCTGATGCGAAATCAGATGGCGCGGCAGGGAGCGGAGCTGCAGCTGCAGCTGCAGAGGGTGGTGGGTGGTGGTGGTCTCCCGCTGCAGCTGCTGCGCTTGGATGGACGCGTCTCGTCTCCTTTTAATGCCGCACGCGCCGCGCCGCGTGGGCGCCGCGCCGTGCTGCCACCACGAGGGCGCAAGGGCCACCGTCGCAGCCAGGACCGCCGGGCGGGAAAAGTCGCCGCGCGGCCGGCCGGGGCCGGCTGATCCGCCCAAAGGGCCGCGGCCTTTTCTCCTTCTGTTCTTCGATCGCCGCCACTGTTTTTTTGTTATAGTACATACTTGTGGTGTTGTGCGGCAAAAAGCAAAGCTGGGGTCAGTCTGTCCGTGCACTGTAAAACGAAAAAAAAGGCATGTCAAAGCAAAACAAAAAGAATCTTCTAGTTAAACAAACTAGGACACAGAAAAAAAATCACTGGAATTAGCTAAGACTTTTATATAGTGTTTCTCTTTGCTTATATTGTACCTGGGTCTAACAAAAAAATCACTAAATTTCACAAGAATTTGCGCGTGCTAACCAATCATATCTTGTGATACAGTAACATCAAACCGGACCTGAGCTAACAACTAGTGCCAAATTATCGCGTAACGAACTGTGCCATGGAACTAATAAAAGAGCAAAAGCACGGCGGACAGCAGCAACATAGATGTAGGCCTCCTTTGATTTACAGGATTTTCCTAGGAATTTTACAGGATTGACATCCTCTGGAATTTTTCCTTTACACATGTTGTTTGATTCACATGATTGCATTCCTCAGGAACTAATCCTATAGAAACTTCTTAGTTCATTTTTATAGAAAAACAAGCATGAGGTTGGACTTCATGGAAAAAATCCTCTGTTTTGCTGTCCGACGTAAGATTTCAGGGCCTCTTTAGTTCAAAGGATTTTCATAGGAATTTTAAAGGATTAGAATCCTTAGGAATTTTTCCTGCGTTGATCGTTTGATTCGCAGGATTGAATCCCATAAAAAAATTCTATGGATTCATTTGTACTGCATTTTATAGCAATTCCAACGTCCACTCTTGAAAGAAATCCTTTGTTTTTCCTGTGATAGAATCGAACAAACTCAAATCCTATAGGAATTCAATAGGCATGTCATTTCAATCCTACGCTTTTCATATTCCTGTGCTTTTGCAATCCTGCGAATCAAATAGGCCCTCAGTGGACAATACATCATATTCCTGTACATTTCCTATTCCTACGCTTTCTAAACCCTGTGAATCAAAGGAGCCCGTAGAGTTTTCCACTGCAAGTCAGCTACGCATATCATGTACTACAAACGTGAAACACAACACCTACGTAATAGGGAGGTTCCAGTCTTGTAGGCTGCTACATCATTGATGATGGATGGGTCGACGGATTGATGGTCACTATTTCCCTCAAACTGCCCAGCCGAAAGTTTTTTTGGTTTGTCAAAGTCCCAGATAAAAGCTGGGAACCACAAAGGCAGCCGCACACCCGAAGTGATCCATAGGTCTGCCACACCACGTCTCCTTGCCTAGCATCACCACCTCAAGAGTAAGTAAAGTGATGGCACCTGGTGCCCAAGCAATGGCCTCCATGATTAAAGGGAGGGTGCGCTGCAGCTGCTGCAGAGCCGTTCATCCATCCACTGGCCCGATCGCTTCACTCATCAGTGCTGGATCAACTCACAAGCTTTTTCCCAAACAAAGTACATGGAAAATGGGTCCCTGACAATCCACACACATGGTACATAGATATGACTGACACGCCATGCTACAGGCCTTAAGATTCAACAGCAACAAGCGGGAACATAACGTCTGTGACCGCTAACAAGCAATACAACACACCTCGAAAGGTTTTACTCGAACCAATGGAGCGGAAGTAGCTAGATGGAGATGCGGCGACCGCAGAGAATGTAACCAATTTCTCAGTCGCTGCGGGCGGGAGAAGCGTCGGGGGACCTGGAGCGGGATCCAGGGGGCGATCCTGAGGATGGCCTGGCCACCCTTGGGCGTGAAGGGGATCCATCACTGTCGGCCGGTGGCGACCTCCTGTAGACATGAACCATTGATTAATATACAGGGAATTTTATGACAAGTATATGCATCTAACAGAAGCACTGTCGAAATACATATATTGTGGTATGCAGCAAAGGAGTCTGGATTAACGAGGAGAAGGAATGCCCTAAGAACTGCAGCCATTCGTTTCTTGATTTTCTTCACTAGAACAGACAGACTTAACTTCCAGTACACATAACGAGAATGTTAACAAAACAAATTGGGTTGCAAAAACAACAGCGCTAGAAAGAGACGGCTTAAAACTTTCGATGCCAGGCTGATAATTGTTATTTTCAATCTGATTCCTCATATAAGATTTACTACCTCCATCCGGGTTTATTAGGCCCCCTCTCATTTTGAGCTAAAGTTTGGCCAACAAACTTAACCAATAAAATGTAAACTATATGTCATAAAAATTATACCTTAGGAAAGCTCTTTCAAATACAAATCCAACAGTGTACTTTTTGTAGCATATATTCTATATTTTATTAGTCATGTGAATGGTCAAAGTTTGGCTCAAAATACTAGGGGGCCTAATAAACCCAGACAGATGTAGTACAATGGCAAGCTAATACTTTGATGGACGAACAAGGTTACAGGTATAAACAGCAAGAATTTGATGCTGGTGCTTAGCTCTACAATTCTCTAATGCAAATGCAATGAAGGCAGACGTGTGTAGTTATCAATCAAACACAACTTACTTCTCATACCCATTATCAGCATCACGTTGGTCACCATCTCTACCAGGGGGAGAGTAGGATCTCCTTTTGTCCTCCTCATGTTCTTTTGGATGACGCACAGGAGATTTCGTGCGATGAGACTCCCTTCCCCGTGGGGAAGCAGAGTAGTCATCTCGCCGTCTTGGAGCAGGAGAGTATGACCTTTTTTTGCCCAAACACAACATTGAACAATAGAAAAGAATCAAATATCAAAACTTTACGAATGTTGGATGCCAAGCAGAACTGCTGAAAAATCATTATTGCCCTACCTTGACCGAGCACGGCCACCGCCACGAGGGCGGGGAGAGGCTGAGCGTGAACGGGAACGAGACCTCCCTGTACCAAATATGAGAAGCTATTAGTAAGTTGATACTGTGCCAAGCAAAATTTGCAATGATTTTGAAATGCTGCAGCATAAAAAGTTCGCAACAATTACAGGTTTCACACCTTCAAAAATCTGAAATATAAACAACTCGTACGTGATGGGTCTTATACAATCTTCACTTCAGACATTAACAGGACAGGAGCCTATATGCAAACAAGTTGTATGTGATGGGTCTTATACAATCTTCACTTCAGACATTAACAGCACAGGAGCCTATATGTAAACAACTTGTATATGATGGGTCTTATACGATCTTCACTTCAGACATTAACAGCACAGGAGCAGCGGTTAATCCAAAAGTTCACTAGTGGATGGGTGTTCACATATGTTAATTATCATATAGGGACTCCGCTGAATCAGATTAAGCCTATATGCAACTGATGTCTCTTCAGAAGGCACTCAATTGTGCTAGTTTACCACAATTGAAATGCGCAAATAGGTAAGGAATGCCATGCTATGTTCATTGGTTACACACAAAGAAAGGAAAGTAAGAGAATCAATTAGTCTCCAATATCAGCTACAACAGGAAAACTAATGCATTTTTTGCTGCAAGAGGGGAATTACCCATAGTGAGCATTGGATAAAAATAGGTATTTGGTGTTTATGGTTCTATCTACTAACAAGATCCAAACCGAGATAAACTTAAACCAGAACGACCAGCAATTCTCAACACTTGTCCGTTCAAAAGCATGTACAAGATTCCAGACTCCATAATTCTATATATGCAAATTTGGCATTACCATAATGAGAGGAACGGCGCCCTTCATGACCTCCAGAGTACCCCCTGCAACAGTCATTTCAACTGAGCACGAGAGAAGACGAAGCAAATCTTCACACAAAAATGGGAATATATACCTGACTCTAGTTCTAGTGCGCATATCCTCTGGCCTTTTCCGTGACTCAGCAGCAAGCACAACAGTTATCTCCCGGCCAAAAAATACCTGGCGATTCATGTGGTATTGGGCCTCAGAGGCATCATAAGGGTCAACAAACTCCACAAACGCAAACCCTCGGGGCTCCCTGTACATGTCGATTTCATTAAACAAAGTAGGGCAGAGAAAAAGGATGAAACATCAAATTAATAAGAATGTCGAGTGTATGAAGTACTCATATATAGTGTGTGCATGTTATGTTACCATGGCAGTCAAAAAATTATCTGTGCACTCTTGGCGAAGCACAGTCAACAACTTACTAACATTTCCGTCAAAAGGGAAGCAAGTGCTGCAAAAAGCAGCAGCATGTCCAGGCTCTAGTATCCAGGTTTCTTGTATAACAACTAAGTACGGCGGTTCTCGTAAAGAGCATCTTCATAGAAGCATTTGCTTCACTTCCCCAATGTGAAAAGTCATGATAGTACTTGAAATCAACTTCGCCCCATTTTATCTTCTCATGGACCACACACAGTACAAGTCTTTTATCTTCTCTTCGTGAATTAATTTTCTCAATCAATCAAATCTTTGTCTTCGTAGAAGAATGTCTTGATTCGGACAAGACTCTATCTTGCCAAGCAAATGAATTGCAGGAATATTAAAAAAGCATTCTTCAAGAAATCAAGGGCTTGTATTTACTTCAAACCAATACAACCCTGGGAATCATTTCAGAAAAAAATCATACATGGCAACCATGAATGGGTAGGAGAAAGTACACTGAATATTTCCAAATTGACATCAAGTACTCTAGTGACAGGAATAAACCAGTGATGTACATCAGCAGACCAAAAAAGAGTAGACCATTTTCATGTAGCTTAAATGCACAAAGGTGGTTGCAGAGGTCGACACCGCTCGTAAGCTGGAAAATGTTCGCAAGTTACCTTAATGAAACATATCTTATGCATATGGTGTAATGTAACTTATAGAAAAGTTTCAAAGTTTATGTTGCATGGGTTCAAACTTGGTACATTTCCCATGGTTAATAACAAAAGAGCCAAAATAAAATAGTTTGGCAACTGCTAACCAATTTGACTTACTAAAACTTACCCGCTGTAATAATCCTTTGGAAGGTAAACATCCCTAACAGGACCAAACCTTTCAAAAGGAACACGGAGATCCTCCGCTCTGCCAGGGTTGAGATAACCACGTTAAACAAGTCAAGAAATTGTAAAATGAAGTATTGTTTGTTAAGCGAGGAAAAAGAAAACAAGTGGCATCCATGTCAAAGCCTATGCACCTGGCGCTTAATGGGATGTTGCGGACCAAGAGACTTCCAGAACCCTGCTCCTTTCGTCCTCCATATCCACCCCTCCTAGGGGGGCTTCTTCCTCTGCCACCATATCCCCTCCTTGGGGGGCTGCGGTGCGGGGGGCTGCCACCATATCCCCTCCTTGGGGGACTACGATGCGCGGGGCTGCCACCATATCCCCTCCTCGGGGGACTACGGTGTGGGGGGCTGTACCTCCTCATAGTGTTGTCTGTAATCAATAATTCAATATTATAGATAAGTACAGGAAATGTCCAGGACATGGAGATGGATAGAAACAAATAAGAAAAACTAGCGGATTTATCAGCAAGGATGGTTTATCAAAAAATCATGTTTACTGGCACCAGAAATTTTGGATAAGAAAACCTGTAAAATCTGCTATTTTGGACTTCCTCAACCTTACCACCCACAAAAGACAAAGTCCAATGAACATATCATTGGGTTAATGCAATCACAACGAAAGCAGTCCTCTAGCACAACCATGTAGTGTGTGACAAGGCATGTAATATAATAAATCCAAAATCAAAATTTGCAAAATCCAACACTGAATCCACCTTGACATATTCTGCGCAGTTCATCAGATAAGTCTGAAAGCTACAAACATCCCACCAACAGTTCACATATGCGACAGCGAAATGTTATTCAACAAACATAGGAGATGCAATTTGTCAGCATACACATATCACCATTCTCGACACAATCTATCTGAAGATATAACTACGCCATTGGATTGGACTAAACGACTCACGGGTTGGCATAAAGCATGGTGTCTACATTCACAAGGGTAGCATGCCAAAGACAGCAGTTTTGACGCCAAAGGCACCAAGGCGCCGTCAAACACCAGATTTCGACGGTCATCTCAGGTCAGAGGAAGCTCAAGATTGGCACGGTGACGTGGCTGGAGAGAAGCATTTAAGCGCTGGGCAAACGTTTCCGAAGCCCGCGCGGATCTACACGCACGCCGACGACTTCTAGGGTTTGCGGAGGAAAGACCGCGCAAGCGGCCGAGCAAACATGCACATACGAATATTGCTCGCGAGGATGCTGAGACGAGGAGGGGGTGCAGGGAGAGGGAGGGAGGGAGAGATTACTGCGCGTGTCCGGTGAGCGCCCGGGAAGGCTCCGCCGCCGCGGGGGTGCGAAGGGGAATGGGGGAAACCGAAATGAGGGCAGACAGGTCGATGCCGGTGGGGAAGGCGCGATAGAGATAGATGGCTGGCCGGGTTATATGGGCCTTAGAGGATTTGGGCCTGTGGTCGTTCACTCCACTTGTTTACTGTACCACTGGCTACCAGTTTTTGTCAAACAGAGACGAGACGCACAAGGGCAAGCGCGACTGGGCCGGCAGGGTTCGACCTCAGGATCTCGCGCACCTGTGCGAGCGTTTCTAGCCAAAGGAGCTAATCGATCTTGACACCATACTATCGCGAGACTATAAGAACTAAAGACAGCGGCAAATATGAAACTTTTAAAATTTCGAACATGAACATTTTTCAAAAAAGGAATATTTTCAGAAATGCTAACACTTTTCAAATCCGTGAAGAAATTTTTGAAAACTCAATTTTTAAAAAAAAACGGAATTTTATTGAATCTGTGAACAAGGTTTTAAATTCTAAAAAAGATTTTAAACGTGAACAGATTTCTAAAATAATAACATTTTTAAAAGAGGAACGTTTTTGCAAACTCATAAACAAAATTTTGAATTTGCGAACAAATTTTGAAAACATGAATTTTTTTGTATGTGTGAATAAATTTTAACAGGAACAATTTTTGAAACTATACCGGTTTTGGGACTTCTATGAATGTTTGTAGCCGGTTTTTTCCGATTTTGGGAACCTTCCAGAAGGTTCCTGAACCAATTTTTCCTTTTTATATTTCTTTCTCGTTTTTATTTTTTAATGTTCCTTCCTTTTTCATTATTTCTCTTTTCCTTTTCCTGTCTTTTCTTTCTTTCTTCTTGTACTTTTCTTTTTGAATTTGTTTTCTATTTTCAATGAATGTTTCAGAATTTTCTAAAAAGTGACAATTTCAGATTTTGTTGTTTTTCAGAAAATGTTCCTGTTTTCAAATTTTTGTTCAAAAATTTCATAAAAGTTCAGAATTTCACAAATTGTTCGCATATTTTTGGAAAAGTGTTTGTCTTTTAAAAAATGTGTTCCAAAACTAAAAAATGTTCGGTTTAAGAAATATGTTCTCGTTTTCAAAATTTGTCCAAAAAATTAAAATATATTCATGTTTTAAAATTTGCTTGAAATTTAAAAAGTGTTCGTTTTTTAAAATTTTGTTCATGAATTATAAAATGCTTAGAAATTTTAAAAAATGTTAGCATTTTTAAAAATTGTTCAGAAAAAATTCAAAAAATGTGCACGTTTTCATTTTTGAGTTTCAAATTTTTATTCGCAAATTTCAGAAAATGTTCGGGCGATTCAAATCATGTTCCCATTTTAAAAAATTATTCACAAATTTCAAAGTTGTGCACATTTTCATTCTTTCAGGAGTTTCGAAATTGTTCGGTTTCAAATTTGTGTTCACAAATTTTAAAAAATGTTCGGGCAGTTCAAAGCATGTTCCCGTTTCCAAAAATTGTGCGAAAATTTCAAAAATGTGCATGTTTTCATTTTTTCAGGAGTTTCGAAATTGTTCAGTTTCAAATTTGTGTTCACAAATTTTAAAAAATGTTCGGGCAGTTCAAAGCATGTTCCCGTTTCCAAAAATTGTGCGAAATTTCAAAAATGTGCATGTTTTCATTTTTTCAGGAGTTTTGAAATTGTTCAGTTTCAAATTTGTGTTCGTAAATTTCAAAAAATGTTCTTGTTTTCACATTTTTCAAAATATGTTTGCGTTTTCAAATTCTGTCTTGAAATTTCAAAAAATGTTCCTGTTTAAAAAAATCCTGATTTTCAAAAATATTTTAGTTTTAAAATTTTATTCGCAAATTAGCTATTTGTTTGTGTTTCATAGATCCCTTCGTTTTTTCCAATAAAAATGCTTTTGACATTCAAGATATAATTTGGAACTGCGTTGCGGGTTGGTTCTTTAAGCTTGGCGCTGCTTTAGAATCAGTAACGACTGGTAGGTACAACCACATCAGCTATAGCAATTTGTTTGTGTTTCATAGATCCTTTCGGGTTGTTTTCAATAAAAACGCTTTTGACATTCAAGATATAATTTGGATCTGCGTTGCGGGTTGGTTCTTTTAGCTTGGCCCTGCTGTAGAATCGGTAACTGTAGGCGTTCTAGGAATGGGGGCACCCAGACTTGCCTACATGTGGCCCACGGCGTGGCTTCATCGACGGTCTGGTACGGCCCACCTTCGGTATCGACAACTCAAGACCCTCACAAGGGGCCAGCCTCGTGAGGCTGCTACCTCTTGAGCACCGCGTTGGTTTTCTCCGAAGAGGAAGGGATGATGCAGCAAATTAGCGTAAGTATTTTCCTCAGTTTTTGAGAACCAAAATATCAATCCAGTAGGAGGCTACGCGCGAGTCCCTCGTACCTGCACAAAACAAATAAATCCTCGCAACCAACGCGAATAGGGGTTGTCAACCCCTACACGGCCACTTACGAGAGTGAGATCTAATAGATATGATAAGATAATATTTTTGGTATTTTTGTGATAAAGATGCAAAGTAAAATAAAGGCAAAGTAAAAAAGCAAAGAAAATAACTAAGTAGTAGGAGATTAATATGATAAAGATAGACCCGGGGGCCATAGGTTTCACTAGTGGCTTCTCTCGAGAGCATAAGTATTCTACGGTGGGTGAACAAATTACTGTTGAGCAATTGATAGAATTGAGCATAGTTATGAGAATATCTAGGTATGATCATGTATATAGGCATCACGTCCGAGACAAGTAGACCGACTCCTGCCTGCATCTACTACTATTACTCCACTCATCGACCGCTATCCAGCATGCATCTAGAGTATTAAGTTAAAAACAGAGTAACGCCTTAAGCAAGATGACATGATGTAGAGGGATAGACTCATGCAATATGAAGAAAACCTCCATCTTGTTATATCCTTGATGTCAACAATATAATACGTGCCTTGCTGCCCCTACTGTCACCGGAAAAGGACACCGCAAGATTGAACCCAAAGCTAAGCACTTCTCCCATTGCAAGAAAGATCAATCTAGTAGGTCAAACCAAACTGATAATTCGAAGAGACTTGCAAAGATAACCAATCATACATAAAAGAATTCAGAGAAGATTCAAATATTATTCATAGATAGACTTGATCATAAACCCACAATTCATCGTTCTCAACAAACACACCGCAAAAAGAATATTACATCGAATAAATCTCCACAAGAGAGGGGGAGAACATTGTATTGAGATCCAAAAAGAGAGAAGAAGCCATCTAGCTAATAACTATGGACCCGTAGGTCTGAGGTAAACTACTCACACTTCATCGGAGGGGCTATGGTGTTGATGTAGAAGCCCTCCGTGATCGATGCCCCCTCCGGTGGAGCTCCAGAACAGGCCCCAAGATGGGATCTCATGGATACAGAAAGTTATGGCAGTGAAATTAGGGTTTTGGCTCCGTATCTGATCATTTGGGGGTACGTAGGTATATATAGGAGGAAGGAGTACGTCGGTGGAGCAACAGGGGGCCCACGAGGGTGGAGGGCGCGCCCCCCTACCTCGTGGCCTCCTCTTTTGTGTCTTGACGTAGGGTCCAAGTCTCGTCTTGTTTGTTGAGAAAATCACGTTCCCGAAGGTTTTATTCCGTTTGGACTCTGTTTGATATTCCTTTTCTTCGAAACCCTAAAACATGCAAAAAAAAACAATTCTAGGCTGGGCCTTTGGTTAATAGGTTAGTCCCAAAAATAATATAAAAGTGGATAATAAAGCCCAATAATGTCAAAAACAGTAGATAATATAGCATGGAGCAATCAAAAATTATAGATACGTTGGAGACGTATCAGAGGCGGACGACACCAAGACCTCCACGAGGAGCGGCCTCCTAAGGCTGGCTCCCGAGAAGCGGAGATCTCTATGCAGGCCTCACCTCATGAGGTTCGGATGACGTGAGCCATGACGACCAAGGCTAGGCGGGCGCCAGCGGGCGCAGTGTACTAGTTTCCTCTTTGGTGCTAAGGAGGCAAGCGCAGACGCGGAGTCCCGAGGAATCAGCCAACGGTTTCCATTCTGGTGCAACAAGACCAAGACCACCACGACGGCAGGACGGAAGTCATCGTCGAGCCCACCGCGGCGTCACGACCAGAGGCTTTTTGCAGGCGGAGACTACTTTTGTCAGGATAGCATGTACTAGTTGTCTCCCTTCAAATTTCGCCATTCTGGGAACCCTTCCCGCCTTCATTTTGGGAAGAGGACCAAGGCCACTATAAATAGGGCCTAGCCACCACCATTCAGGGGATCCGAACACGAGAGATCATCCTCTCCCCGCCAGCTCAAGAACACACCTCCTGAGGTTGTTCCCCGACTGTACTAGTTCATCCTCAGCCCCTCGAGGCCAATCCACCACAAAGCATGAGTAGGGTTTTGCACCGTAAAGTGGCCTGAACCTGGGTAAACTGTTGTGTCTCGTTTCCTTCGTGTTCATCGAGCTAGGCTGAGAGATTGGCGACTAGGCAGACTGGGAGGTTGAGTTCTTCGCATGCACCCCAGAGTTCGAACCTCTCAAGGGTCTGCGGAGCCCGAAATCTGACATTTGGCGCGCCGGGTAGGGGTGCATCGAAGATCTGCCTCTCTGCCAGCTGCGTTCCGATGTTCGGCTCCCATGGCTGATGCTGCTCCACCAACCAGCCCGACGCGCGCTTACGGAGGAGCCGAGGGCCTCCGGGCTTTCACCCCCGCCCTACGGCGGGTGGAGTGGCCACCCAAGTTCAGGCCGGT